GTATATAGATGTATATAGATGTATATATATTTCTTTGAAATATGGATTTTCACGCCTATCACTGAATATCAGATAATGCCAAATACGAACAAGATAGCGAGAGTGAAGATGAAGAAGCCGAAGATGAATTTGAGGCCATCCTTTACTTCTGGACCGGTAGAGATGCACCGTCCAATTTGTGGCCCAGATTTACACTTCAGCACGCCCCGCAACTGATGGATCTGGTTAAGAAGAAGTACCAGGTATATACACATATGCAGTGTATTTTGTGTAGAGATTGGTAGATGAAGTCGGAACTATTACTTCTTATGTCTTATGTATTCGAGTGGGTGAATACACGATGCACCGCGCAATTTATATTCCAGATTTACACAGCTACACTAACGCTCATGGACTTGGTCAGGAAGGAATGTAAATTATCTAAATGCAATGCACGATAGTGTTTTTCATCTGGTAAGAAAATTTAACGATCAAGCCGAAACATTTGCCTTACACAATTATTCATTCGAGAAGGCGGATAGATGTACGAGAAGATCTAGATAGAAGAAGGTTCTATGGTATGCACTGTGTAGCACATACACTGATAATCGACTGTTTCCTATACAATCGTTTCTCTGCAGTGTGATCTCGAGATCCGCAGGATGTTTCAACAACGGGAAACAGAGAGATTTCTTTCGCATTTCCGGCGGAAAAGCATTATATATCGAGGCCCGTACAGCCCAGGATGCGAATATAGCCGTGCGCGTCTATTTCAAGTAAGCTTCAGCTCGGGATATTTTCACTTCTTAATGACTGGTGATGAGTTAAGTACATATAGTGGAATTCAGAAAATAGGGTCGGGTATAAATTGGTATTTGAATTCAGAAAGTTGTGGAATGCTGTGCGAAAGTAAAGGTTTTTTTACAACGGCTTTTGGGAGCTCTATTTCCGGAGATGTCGTTGAGCGATTGCCTATACATGCATCACATCTATGTATATTAAGGTTACCATACATAAAGCGTTTGCCATATATACATACTCAACACTCAAATTCGCGTATACCTATGTTTGCATTGTACACTTTGCAGATGCGGCAGATGTCATCGATCATCACACAGCGTACCGTAGAGGTACCCCTCAGCGCCTCTGTTTTGGACTCGACCTACTGCTTCATCCTGGTAGCCCCACATGAGAAGTAAGTGACATGTTTTCATAGGGCTTTACTGGTAGCTCCACAATCTGCAGTGAAGCAGTATGCAATGGTAGGTGTCGGACGGAGTGGAACGCAGTGTGTACACTTAGCGTACAAATACTTTTCAATGATGAAAACTCCAGTGGGAGCGCGGAGAGCTTATCGTACGTTTTCTATATAATACAATAGAAGATAGTACATCGACTGCATAAGAGGTAGTACAGAGTGACAAAGTGCTTTTTATACGCGAAATCGTGCTACATAATAAATACAATCCTACATTTGTTGCTACACCTCCAGCCGAGTAATTTTATGTATTGATAGAACGATACGTTTATTGAAAGACGGGGTGGTTGATTTCGTTTAGTGAGTAAAAAAGTATTATTTAATATAAGCAATTATACGTATATTGTCCCACAGAAGGCCGGGTGGAGTAGTTTACGTATGGATAGGCCGTCAGACTCGAGACGCAGATGCCCAGACAGCCATGACCATGAGCACCATCATATCTCGAGCTTACGACAATGCAGAAAATGCCACATCTAGGTAGGTCTTTGACTACTGAATTACTAGGATTTGACTATGTCGAATGAATACTATTGAAATGATTTTCAACTGATATGATGGAATTGGTTCGACTAACACATCTGCAATGAAGAATTGAGTTAACAGCCAAATTGCTATGGCCAGGTGTATGCCATTCTGTTGTTGTGTGTCTATCTCTTGAATATGCACATATTCGCTAGCCAAGAAATTGGTATCAAGTGTGTATATTGGCACATTTGTTCGACAAAGTATGAAGTGTACAGCGATGTAGAGGTATGAGACACAGTCGGTCATACTTTTCCTTCTCATCAAACCGTCATCTAATCAACCCCACTTCAGATACGTAATTCGAGTGGCACCGGAGAATGGAGAACATCCCTCATTTCTGAGGCTTTTGTCATATAATGGACGTTCTATGACAAAAGATACAGACGTTCCTGCCCTAGTGCGCTACAGTGCTGGTTCAATGCGATGCTTGCTACCAGCGCCTGGTGTACTACCAGACTATGACCTGAAGAGGCTATTTCGATGCTCGAACCGTACGGGGTCCTTTGTAGTCAGTGAGGTGAGTGTGTTTTGTGGCCGGTTTCAATTTGGATACGATAGTATATGAGTTTATCGGACATTAAGAATATAGACAAGTTAGGTTACCAAAGATTCCATTTTCTTTTAAAGCTTTGAAAACTCTGACAAATGGACAACTCCAGACCCAAAACGTAACCTTTGGGAAGCTCCCTCCCAAAATGCGTTTCGTTCCGAGACCTAACATTTTGAGTAGTCTCTGCTATCTGAACGTTCTCAGTGCTGGCACTAGAGGGCTGTCCGGTGCTTCAGCTGTGCGGTACCTATTACTGTCAGTGAGGTGCTTATATGCTTACATGGAGATGTTTATTTCGCTGTGAGCAGAACTGTGGACTGGTAGTTTCATTGTGTCTTTGTTCTTAGTACAAACAATGCGAGAACAGAGTCGGCTTTTCCGGTTGCTTGGCCATACGGATATGACTTCTAAGCATGTCAAGTGGACGGATTAGTGTATGTTAATATGCGCTTCCGCCATCTCTACAACAACAGATATCGCAAGACTTCTGCCAGGATGACCTGGATCACAACGACTGTTTCCTGCTCGGCAGCAGGCGGCGAGTCTATCTGTGGGTGGGCAAAGACACGAGTGACGTGGTACAGAAACTGGCCTTGAAGAGCGCTCAGACCTTCGTTGCAGACCAGGGTGATGGCTATCCGAGAGATGGCGTTGAGAAAGTATTTGCTGGAGAGGAGTCTTTGGTGTAAGTAGAGTGCACGTCTTTGTGTTTGCCGAATTTGCAAAGTCTTAATTTACATCTACATGCATGCACGTTTGTGGAGAAAAGAACGTGTGGATAAAATTGCACGAACGTCGCTGCATATATAGCAATACACAGAGTGGTACATAAGTCGATAGGACGTATTTCCACTGTATACTGTGATGTAAGTAGGTTGCCCAATAGTTTTCCTTTACTGCGTGTATCACGAGCACTGAAAGAAATTTCATTTTCAAGTTGTATATGTATATAATATATGTTCATGTATATAATATATGTCCATGTATATGATATATGTACATATTATATATATTACTTACATATGTGCGTACAAGCGTATGTACATATACGTATAATATATGTACGTATATACTTATAGTGAATATAAGTATCTATTATATCGGCTTCACTTAATCCACGTACAAGATTTCTTGCGTATAAACACGATCGGCAAAATACATAATGTTATTCAAAACCTGTTTTTTTCCGTAGCAATCCGATTCGAGTATAATTTCGGGAACTTGGGTTAATTTTTCTGGTCTACGACACGCAGTTGTTAATGCTTTGTATCACGTCCGCAGGTTTCAACGATTCTTCCATGGATGGTGGCCTGAGGCTTGACATTATCTTGCAAATTCAGATACAATACAATCGGGACGAATAAAGGTTTACGGTTGCGTTATTGACGACATGGTCGAAAACGCACATTTTTGCAATATTAAATATGCACAAAAGTATACGGTATGCGGCTCTACATACGCGGCCATGTACCCATATGTTTGCACAGTCCATGGGATATTGATGGCCCTGAAGAGCCTTACTTCAATATGTAGTAGAACTTCTTCTTTTTCTACTACAGAGTTGAGAATGGCTAGGGAGTGAAGGCGAATACTGTTGAATCCATAGTTTGTCGTGACGGTGGTAGCGGGCCGAGAGTTTCGAAATTCAGATGTTATAAATTGTGTTGTATTGTAAACAGGGAAATGAATTGTGCTGATTTTACAAGTATGTTTTCAATTTAAGACCACAATAAACAAATGAATAAATTAAATATGATCAACGTATTGAATTGGATCGATTTTGATTGCAATAGATCAAAATGATTAGACTAGATTGGAATGGATTAGATTATATTTGAATGGATAAGATGAAATTTTATTTTAGATTGGGTTAGATTAGACTAGATTGGATTGGGTTGGATTATATTATGATGAATTGATCAAACAAGATGAGAATAGAATGTAATAGACTAAAACATATTAGAATGGGTTAGATTAAATTAGATTAGATTTAGATTGAATTGGATTGGATAGGGTATGATTGGATTGTGTTGGATAGGATTAGTTTGGATTGTATTTAATAGGATTATATTGGATTATATTGGATTGGATTGGATAGGATTGTATTGGATTGGATTGGATTGGATTGAAATAATTTAATCTAAACTAATCTAATCCAATCTAATCTAATCTAATCTAATACAATATATAATCTAATCTAATCGAATCCATACTAATCTAATCTAATCATCCTAATCTAATCTAATCTGATCTATTTGATCCATTCCAATCGAAATCGATACAATTCAATACGTGAATCATGTTTTATTTATTAAAATATGTTAGAACGGATTGATTAGTTTAGATTATAATAGATTAGAGTGAATTGGATAAGATTCGATTGGATTGGATTGGATTGGATTGGATAAGATTGGATTGGATTGGATTGAATTGTATCGGATTAAATTAGATTAAATTAGATTACAATTGATTGATTAGATTAGACTAAATTGGACTAGAATGGATTAGAATGGATGAAATTGGATTTTAATAGATTATAATGGATTATATTGGAATAGTATGGGTTAGATCATATTAGAATGGATCGATTAGCAGTTTAGTGTGGATTGGATTGGATTGGATCAGTCGAACTGACTTGGCGCGAGTTGGATTTCTTCGAGTTGAATGGTTGAATGATCTGTTATGGTCCGAATCGCATTCAACTGGAACATATCCCGATGAAATAGAAGTATTTGATTGAATTGAATTGAATCACAGATTGTAATGAATTAGCTTCAGCGCAAGTCAGAGGACAATCCATACCAATCAAAGAACTCAATTGAATCAAAATTGGGTTAGATAGACTGAATATTATTAGACGAGCATGCAAAATTCAATGAAACTGTACACTGTAGCTATATTTCAGTTTTACTTTATTTACTTTACACGAACGATGTAACCAGGGTCTGAGCTGGGATAAATGCCACGATAACTAGTGGGTAACTTCTTCGAGATCCTGGGGTTCCAGTAGGGACATACGTCGAGAGGCACGTCTGGGGGCCTCGGCGGGTGTAATGTCAAATTCAAGCGAAAGACCCAGTCGTTCAGCCTCCTCCACACCACTCTGCTTCTCTTCGGCAGAGAACTTGAGCATAAAGGCTCCGATGACATCGGGGATGGAACGATCCACACCTGATGAATAGTTTAACAGATAGACAGGAAAAGGTGAGAAATCATAGAGATAAAATTGGCATGGAAAGAAGCGCGGGTAAGAATTGGATAGATAGGTAGATGAAGAACGAAAATAAGCTGGAATAGGTTACATAGATAGATATAGAACGAAAAAAAGGTGGAAATGGATAGGTAGATGTACATAGATAAATAGGTAGAATGCCTCAGTGAATGAGAAGGGTGAATTGAAAAGACTGACGGTTGGTAATAGCAACACGAGGAATTAGAAATGTCAATTAAAGTTGATAAAGGGAATGAAAAAAAGATGGATCAGTGTGACAATAGCTCACGATCACTTAAGAGTTGGTTCGATGCACAACTTGTAAATACATCGTATAAATTCGCAACGCAAACATGGCAACGATCAATAAGATACGTAAATACGATATATATATATATGAGCACATACCCTTAAGTGAAGCGCCAGCCTGGAAATTCGCGGACGCAGAGATACAGTTGGGGTGGGCCTTGATGGCGTCCAGGAAGGACAGACTGTTCAAGGTACCGGTGGTGGGTGTAGCGATCCAGTAACTAACCAGTGTACATAGAGGTTCTTCCGGCACAGGTGGGTTGATGGGGATGTTACACAACGCCAAGAAGAAGTTCATGTACATGTCACATCCGTACACATCCTGGTGGAACTGCGGCACGGGTCCACCGCCCATACGTGGGTTGACTTCGATCAGACGAGGTCCTCTCTGTTGCAATGGTTTAAAAAAATTGCTGTCAGTGCGTGTGGTAAGCATTCATGAAATATTTCTCACGAAGCACCTCGTACAACAAAAATATATATGGAATAAACACTCACAAACTATGGACACTTATAATTGTTATAGGTATTGCTTGGGATACTTTTTTTTATGAGCAGATTTTGAACAAGTGACGTGCATGTGGACAAATGCAGACGGTACATATTTCTATGACTCATTTTCATACATTGATCCGCATATTCGGGTATATACGTTTATGCACATCAAAACATGCTAGCCAATGCACTCGACGTGGGAATACCCTAAATAGTGTACGTGAATACATGTATGGATATACACACCTTAGTCCACATGCACTCGACATGGAAGCATCCGATTGTGAAACCAAATGCGCGCAGAACCTTCTCTCCGTACTCCTTCAGTTGCTTCTGTGCATCTTCGGGCAGGTTAGATGGTGCGTTCTCACGATTCTCAACGAAGTATGGGGGGACAGTGGGTCTGTGCGATGTGAGGAAAACGAGGAAAAGATGTTATAAATACGACAAATACAACAGAAAATGTGACTCAATTCGCGAAAAATATGACGCCTTATAGGTAAACCATCGTCTGCAACAGCTAGAATAGCACAAGGCCCGATAGTATACACGACATACGGCTCGCAAACGGTTGATACTCGCTGAATGAGTGTGCACACACAAATCTGATGATGTAAGTGGCAGACTTCGGCGATCCATGCAAATATAACAAATTCCTACGTGTGATACTTGTACATCGGTGCGACTCTACGGCCCAGCCCCCAATACCGTACACAACTCCACAGAGATCACTTTAAATCGTGAAATTACGAATACACAAAACAACCAACCACGATATTGCGCATAATAGTAAAAGGTACTTTGTTATAGTAAATATACGATTATGCGGCTTAGAAGGCGACTAACGCAAAAACAATATTAAGTGATACGCACTTATATCCTGTGAGTATACTTCAGAAAATATACAAACACGTGTGCATACACTCGATAAAAAAAATACAGCCACGCATACATTTCAGTGATTATTCACATACCCATCATCACAGATTCGGGTGTACACCACCTCGTTGTTGCCTCCAGGCGTCAACAAGAAGTCGACATCGGTCTCGTCTCCCTCCAGGTACTCCTCACACACAATATCCACACCGCCCAGTCCAGGGTTATACGACAGGAACGCATTTCCAGTAATCTCTTGGATCAGCTTCACGACGGTGAGCTCAACCTCCTTCTCGTTACGTGCGATGTACACACCCTGAGAACCAGCGCCGGCAATGGGCTTGACAATCATGGGGAAGCCAACCGCCGCTACGGCAGCAGGAACGTCATCAGGGCTCTTGACGAGCGCGGAGCTGTGTAAAAGTGTATGTGTGTGTATGAGATAGAAGCCAATTCGAAGTATGTTTATGAATATAAACAGGGACTGGATTTTGTGATTCCAGCCAATAGTATTATCCTAGACACTACCTCGAACGAAAAGATCGAATTTCTTTTTGAAAATATCATATAGGCAGATCTGGTGATGCCGGTTCCGTGCGCCTGTCTTTACACTATATTAAAGGCACCTTATTGATAGAATACGCATACGGAATATTTTTACATTTGCAATGAATATATATATATATAAATAAGTATTTTTTAATAATTTGAATATATATATATATTTAAAATTAAAATGGATCTAGTAAAAAAATATGTACTATATATATATATTAAATATATAAATGCACATCAACATAATTACGTAACGTGTGGCAAAAATACGGACTTTCACTTAGAGCACAGTTTCATGCGCGCTGCTGTGTTTGTCAAATATGGTGTTTTGGGCGGATACAAAGGTCTTGTGCAAGTTGAATTGCTACCATCGAGTACACACACTTACGCGGGGGTGGCGATTCCGGCCTTTCTAAGAGCTTCACGGGCGTTGTGCTTGTGACGCGCAGTTGTGTACGCGGCCACGGGGTTACCAGGCAGGTTCATCTCCTCAGCAACCGCACCAACGACGGTCATCATGTTTTCGTAAGGGGAGAAGACAGCGTCGAATGTCACGCCAGACTCTTCTGCCGCCTATGTCGCGAGATGGATGTACATAGACGATGAATGTGAGAGGGATGACCATATGTCGGATTGCCAGGAATGTGGAGTGGATAAAATGCAAAAAAATTCTAGATTGTGTGACGCGGATCGGACATACTTTTACATGACATGTGACAAGCAAGTCAAGCAAGTGCACAATGTGCGTGTGAAAAGTGGAAGACGGAAGTGGTTCACGGTGCAAATCATTCACTCAAACATATTCGCGGCTAAAAGACGGAAGCTATATATTCAAAGCATGCCACTAATAACGGGACGGGTGAGAGCGAGCTCATGTAAATTCGAGAAGCTTGTGCATTTTTTACACCCACGCCCACGCGTACATATATATATATATATATCGACCGAGCGCCAAGGATATCTATAACTTGTCAAGCGAATTGCAGACAGTAACATGTCCGTCGAATCTTAAATTCGACAACGAATATACCTTTCGCACGTTCTTCGCCTGCACATAGATATCATCACCTCCGAGATCCGCAAACAGCTCCTTGGGGAACAGCTTGCTCTCTCCCTCTTGCAGGAAACTGTATAGCTTCTCCTCCTTAGAGGTGAACACTCCATAAATGTTGCAACCAGTCTCTACCAGCATCTTGTTTTTCTCTAGTAGGGAGGCCGACATGCCTATATGTGCGGTGACAAGTACGTGCATGCAGTTGTAGTATTTAGCAATCCCGTATAAGCAGTATTCTCTCACAACAAACAGATATAGTTCAAGATTATAGAAATATATACTATCAAATATACTCCGAGTGTTTATCAATTTTGAATAAAACTAATAGGTAATAAGTATTAATATATGTCCATATATTCATATCCATACGTATATATATATATATATATGCATTCACATATACTTTCTTTTATTATATATATATATACATATAAATTTATATATATATATATATAAATACATTCATATGTATATTCGTTTATATATATATATATATAATCATTTACGGATATATATTATATATTAAAAATATATATTTGTGTAATATACATGGACAAATGCATAGCCTTTTACAATTGATATATGTTCACTTATGCATATATATGTATATGAGTATATATATATATATGTATATGTGTGTGTATGCATACATACATTTATGTATATATATACAAATGTATAAATATATTGGTATATATATGTATGTATGTATGTGTGTATATGTTTGTGCGCGTATGGGTGTGTGTTTTTGCATGAATATATATATATGTATTTCTATATATTCCCATATTCAATTATATCACAACTAGAGTGCACATAAAATACAATGTAAATCCGGTGAAGTGACTACCCAATATATACAAAACAAAAGCAAACGATTCTTAGTAGTCCTCGTGATCAAAATAGGATAAGCTCCACAGTCTATCGATAGGGCAACTTCATCTCCTCAAACTCTCATTTTAAGAACCGAAGCGTTTCCGTACCTGGCAAGCCGGGCATGGCTAAGAACAGAACATTGAGTCCTGCTAAAGCTTCTATACGTTTCTGTTGAGTAGCCTCATCGTTACCGGTAAGGTTCTTCACTGAGTCCGACAAAGGCATTATGTATTGATTGGAAGTGTTGATATATCTGCAATTACGATTGAAAAAAGTGGGGGGTGTTGATTTTAGTAGATGCGAAGGTCTGAACGAGCGCGTACTTACGAGGTGGCGAACGCCCCTGTCAACCCCGTGTATACATTCCCGTTATAATACCGATTGGCAAAGACTCCGTACCATTTTATATGACACATATATTGGTGTAGAAGCGCAGGCAATAGATATGAGTTGCTGCTGCTACTGTCGAGTGATTTAGCGTTCGCGGATGGCACACTATATAATGATATCACATCGGGGAGGTGCTACATCAAGCGCGTTTCCTATTCGTAATACTAGCTTGTCTGCTCTTCTATAGTGGAGAAGTTCACAGAGAAAACACGTTTATGGCACACTATACAATGATATCAAATTGGGGAGGTGCTATATCAAGCGCGTTTCCTATTCGTAATACTAGCTTGTCAACCCTTTTCCATTATAGTGGAGAAGCTCACAGAAAAAAACACGGTTGAAGTTGTGCGACACGTTCTAACGTTATACAGTAACTGAAGGTCTCACAAGTCCATCACAACAGGACAAAAGGTAAACAAGCAGTATATACAAATTATTTCTATACCGATACCTTGTACGAGTGCCAAATCTGCTTCCCACTATTTCAGGTGCGACTTTATATATACTTTGAAATACGTATGCTCCTTTCTGTGTGATTATTTACTTGAATTCTCCAGTCATTTCTGTAGTCTATATGCCCCTCGGAGGGCCTCGGTGGTACAAAACGAGTTTTAACTATTGTTGTCTTTTTTAGAAGCGGACGAGTCAGAGGACAAGCGACGACTATGTATTTATAGTCAGCTGCGATGCTTCCTAAAAAGGCAAATGAGTGTTTATTTACATCCTCGTCGGGGAATCGAGGATCTCCAGTTCTCCACTAAAAAGTCCAATGACTCTAAACGTCAATTCATTATGCACCAATACAGTAACGTTTTAACGCGAACAGAAAAGAAATGGTTGAACTTTATACGTTTTTCCTAACGTAAAATTGATGACATCCAATCGATTTCTCGATGGTGTTAGTATAGCATAAACGTTCAAACAAAACGTTGTAACGAAAAAAAGACCTGTCGGCCTCCCTCAGGGCCTCATAAATATTAAAAAATATCCTTTGTAAGAAAGTTGTTGCCTATGCATTTTTTTGTAAGCTTTTATTTCTGGAAATATATACACTCTGCGGCTCTTGAGAGTGCCAGTTTGCCCTATTATTGGCTGTTTTTGGTGCGTAATTATTACTATGTAATTATGAAATCACGTATTGACACATAGCCTCCTAAAAAGAACATAGGAGGCTATGATTGACATTATTGTATTTATTTACATATTTTTCAAAGTGATTTTGTTTAGCAAAAAAAAAGTATTTTTTTTCAGATGTACACGCATCTGTTTATATATTCGAATGTGACGGCAGTTATGAGTCATGACACCACAGACCACGGCATGATGACATCATAACACGAATCTAAGTATTTATGCCCCTCAATTTCTGTTTTCTCATCGGCCGTCATTAAATATCACTTTGGAAACACACAACAAGCCTACAAGTTCCGTGCCTTTTAGAGAAGAAGACTAAAATATAGGGGATCGAAGTTCGAACTACGTCCGAAGGATTTTTTTAAAGAGTATTTGATAGACTTCATATCTCACTTCACGAAATATCAACCAGCGTTGATCGATTTAAAAGTGGAAACCAACAAATCAACCATCGTGGTATACGAAAGCTGATAAGCAAATAATCAAATTCATTTTATGGTACAATTTTTTTTATATTCTCTATAGTAGGAGTCACTTTCCTGTCGTTCTCTTCTAGTAGCTCGCAATGTGTGACATATCTCTCTAGCCAATATTATCTCTAGTCAATTTCAACTTTAGTCAATATCGACCCAACCCTCAAACATGTTGAGATATTCTTTGTCCGCATATGTCGGCTTTTTAAGCAACGAAATTATATTTAATAATCGCTTAATGCGAAACAACCTTCTTTCAAAACACCATTTCCCCTTTAGGGAGGGACATACAGAACAAGGAATCGGTTTCTCCTCACAATCAGAAATTTGTAGCTATTATGATCTAACATATCGATTCTTTTATCTTCGAGAAGAAATGGGGTGAACCAGAAAAACCATCTACACAGTGGACACTGCTTTGATTCACGAAGTTTATTTTACTATTTACGCATAAACACAGGGGAACTCAGAAGAGCAAGAGGCGGATTTATTTATTAGCCTCTTCTCTTGGATTTACGAGGTTTGTTCCATAGCCTCCTAAATAAAATCATTTAGGAGGCTATGTTTGTTCTGATTGATCAAAACAATGTATTAACAAAATATTGATATCAATCTTACGCAGGAAGCTTCTAAGTTCTTGGCTGCTTGGTCTGTGCATAATATATACTGTACAATTTAGGAGGCTATGATTTACCTGCATTTGCTAAACCCTAAACCCTAACCTCGTACTCAATAAGAACGGATCTGTACTATTCTCTACAGAAAAAGCCAAAGTAAAAAAAAAGAGCCAAAGTACAAACATACATTTCATATTTATCGTACAAATAGAAAATAAGACGGGCGAGAGTCCAAGAATGCGACGCGATATCTGACTTTAAACCTAACAAACGTCTGTATCTATTGATTAGTAGCTATAGATTTTCGCTCTTATAGCTGGTCTATTGTCGATAATAATACTTGCAACAACAAGATGGCGAGTTCGGTCCTCTCGCTAGAGCGGCCGCTTCTGAAGGTGAATATGCAATTTCGTCAAAAATTACCAGCTCGAACTCTAGACTTTAGAACATCATTAAATTCGGATGCCTATTCAACAATTAGACACCATACATTCATACATACTTAATACATACATGCATGCATGCATACATGCATGCATGCATACAATATAATG